ACTCTTTGGCTGCTGTGTTCCTGAGAATGAGGAGCCAGAGTACACTGAAACAAACTGCACAGTGCTCAGAGCCTCAGGCGCACCAAAGACAAGAAATACCAGGTGCTAAGCACTGGAACCGTTGATACAAAGTGCTGTGGATGGTGTGTGCACAAAGCTCAGACCACAAAACTCACCACAAACCTCTGTCCAGGAATGGGTACAGCCCCCAGAGTCGTCCTAGCGAGTGGAAATCAATTGAAGGTAGCAAACTACAACCTAGGTGGGCGATGTGGGCTGAACTAGGCTGGGATTTGCTGGTGCTATCCAGGCAGTCTAAGCCACAGATAATCACAGGGCAGCTCCCAAAAAGCAGCATTTGTGGCCTGAAGAGACTGAGGAGGTATAAACACTGTCTGCAAGGCAACAGTTCATTTACTTCCCTTCTCCTGGTGGGAAGGAGAGAAGGGGGGAAAAAAAATAGAATAAAAGAAATGGGTCATTTTGGAATGACTGCACCAAACCAGTTCAGTACAATTTCATACTGCAAAGGCAACAAACACATGGTCTACAGCTCTGACTCGCCAGTTTTAGCAAATTGCTAGACCTGGCTTCAGCTACACCAAAAGCAGACACCTAGAAATACCTCTCCTTGACAAAAAGAAATTGGCAGTGACCTTTAGCAAAACAGTTAGGTCGATTAATGAGTTAAAGTTAGACAATGTCAATTTCAAACTAGAAACAAAGTCATCCTTGGATTTGGATCCTGATGGATAAAGAACTTTATCTCTTCTGTGTTCCTCTCAGAAGTCTAGACAGTTAGACTAAGCAATGGTGCTACTTGCATTTAATGAGAATTAAATGTTAATCTTGACAACTAGAAGACAAAAATCTAACCTTAAAGATGCAATTATTTCCCATTCCTCTAACATTTCTATTTTGGTTTGAAACTTCTTGTAATTCAGTAGCACACCCTCTGTACCAAATAAATCAATGTTAACCATGAAAGTGTAAGCAGTGTTACCCAATTCTGAACTTCTGGTGACTCCAGCTCATGGGCTGACCTACAATTATCTGTTATTCTTGGAGCAGTGGGTCTGTACAAAGCCATGTAAATTACAGGACACAGTTGTATATGTTGCCTTCTAAGAATATGTCTTGCAAGTATTTGTTTTCCCACATTCTTAAATTCCTGGGGTTTCATATGCAATACAACCCCCACAAAATCTACCCAAGATAAAATGCAAGCTTGTGTCACATTCGTGCAGGGCCCTTCATCTGCATTCAGCTGCATCTAGATTCTCTCCTTTGCCATTCGTTGTGTGATTGAATCCTCTTTCTCTTTCCATTTATAAAAAAATTATGTGGCTTTTTAATAAACTCATTAAATAAACAATCCATTTCAGCCCTCAAAATTTGCCACTGGTATCTCTGCAGCTTAGTACTAAACCTCCACCTAAAAAGGAAAGGCAAAACAACAGATAGTAAGGTCTGAGACGTGCTGCACGTCACCTGCCGTGTATGAGGAGACCACAGCCTGGAAATCCATTTACTCAATGTAAATCCAGTTTGGTTATATTGACTTTTCTTTCCCTCATGGTATATTAGTGCTCATGAAAAATCTTGCAGTGAAAGCCCTAGAGAAGAAATCTTTTGTCCACAGACAAATGCACTTCCCATTTTCTGCTTTATTACCACAAGCAAAAGAGCAAATGTGTTATTCTCACTTTTACAATAATCACAAGCCCAGACACCCAGCTAAGGCATAAATCCCACATGGGGTTTGTCATGGACACTTTCTCAAGTCCTACTTCAAGTGCTATCTCTACCCACTTGTCCTCTCTTTCTCCACTCAACATAGGGACAATTATGATTAACCCTCTGAAAATCTGACTACAATCCTAACATTCAGCTCCTACAAACCACCAAATGACCCATTCAGTCACCTTCACATCATTGCTACATTTGAATCTCCTGAAGCCCAATCATTCTTTCTGCCTTTTTTTTTTTACTGTTATTATTTTTTATTTTTATTTTTTCCTTCTCTTCTTTCTCCCTTTCCTTTCTCTTTCCTTTTCACAATCATTCACAAGGCTAAAAAAAGATTCAAGAGACAAACGATGGCATCTGCAAACAACTCAAGTAACTCCATAGAAGAAAACAACAGGCCAGGACCACAGAGGCTGTTATATGTCAACATATTAAATAACAGCAGTCAAACTCTCAGCTGGTGGATATCAAGCTGTCTCCATCTGGTTGTATGAGGGCAGTGCAACTTGATATTAAACACAGAGTAGAAAAACCTGATTCATGTTAAACTACAGCAACGGAAATCCCAGTGAGTACTGACCCTAGCAGACACCTATTTCAATCAATGACCAACTCTCATCTCCCCAGGCAGGGAACAGCCAGGAGCACACAGAATGCAAGGCAGAATGGGCCCTTAATACATCTCAAATTTAAAGTTTCCTACCCTTTAAAAAATCACAGCTACACCTAGCTTGCAGTAATCCAAAAGCATAGCTTCAGGGCATCTTTCAGTGGCCTAAGTTTGGTGTTTAAATTACATATATTACTTTGAACTACAAATATCTGCTCAATCAGCTCTGCTGCTGCTCTGGGGCAGCTGAGCTGAGTGTCAGAGAATTTCCGTGAAGGCACACACAGCCACTGGCACCCAGGAGAGAAATGTGGATTCACAACATCAGGAGTCCAAAAGGTTCTGATAGTCAGAGGTTAAAGATCTGTTTTCATCACCTAGATTAGTAAGAGAGATTTTAGCCAAAAATGTCTGCAGAATCAAAGATTGGTTTGGGCTGGAAGGAACCTCAAAGATCATCTTGTTCCAACTGCCATGAGCAGGGACACCTTCCACTAGAGCTTCCTTCCAGCCTGGCCTTGTCTTCTTGCATATTTATTATATATTTGACTTCTGAGCTGACTTTACAAAAGGCTGATTGCAACTGCTTCAGCAAGGAAACATGAGAGATCTGACCTCCATCCCCGCAGCCTTACAAGTACAGGTGAACTCTTGAGAAACAAGCACCCTCCTGCCACAATACAAAACAGTCTCTAATTTGCCACGTTAAGAGAGGTGAGACAGAAGAAGAATGTCTCTTTGGGCACAAACGGGGAAAAAAAAAATGAACCATATATCTGATGAAGCATTCTAAGTGTCATCTCCAATGTGTTATTTCCTCTGGCAGCCTCAACTCACTGCCTTTTCTTGTTACTGTCTTCCCAGACTGCATACACTCATTTGTCTGTCCGTCTGGTACTGAGGGCAACATGCAAAGTCCCTTCCAAAAAAATCAAGCACCAACTAAAAACAAAGAAAGAAACAAAAATTAAAAGCTTAATAAAAATGGGTATCAGCAAACTGATGGAAGCACTTCTGCATTAAAAACTTCAATAACATCAATAACAATAAATATCTTTAGTTTACCATCAGCTGTCAGAACTGCTGCACTCCCTCAAACACTGACATTGGCTGGCTCACAGGGAAGCCCAGAAAGGGGTGCTAATGGTTCACTTGATCAGGGTACACAGAAAGGAAGGAGCTGCTAGCTATGTCCCCTGCTTCAGCAAGCTCAGGAAATCTTTTCAGTTGTCCAAGTTTGCAAGGGCTCTGGGATTATGGCCCTTCAGTGGATGGGGATGTTTCTTTCCTACAGCTTGGCCTTTAATAATGTTAAAGGGCAAAAGGTCTTGACTGACACATAGCAGACCGCAGAGAGACTAATTACTCAGCCAGTCTCTTCTCCCTTACTTGCTCCTCTTGAACATCTCTAAAGAGTCTTTAAATTTGACCTGCAAATGCTAATAGCTTTCCTTTGCAGCACTGGATTGTTCCTCTTCAGGACTTCTGCATGCGCTTCCCATTTATGCAATGCTGACTCCCATAATGGTCAATAAAGGGCGGTATAACAGTATGACAAACTTACGTTCCCAGCCATGCCCAGAATTCAAACTGAATTACAAAGTCAGCCTGTGTTCATAAAAACAACTTTAACAAGCAAATGGAGCTTTACTGCGCTTCATAACTGATATCACATATCTCTGGGTTGCTGTCAATTCTTTATGTAAATACTTTAAATCCCTCAGACTTCGTTTTGCACACTATGTAGTGAGTCTCTTCATGATCAAATAGTATTTAAAACATTTATTGCCTTGTTAAATCTAACAAGTTAGATTTACTGGGATAGTCACTTTCCCTAATAGCCAATTTAGTAAAACTCAATCTATTCATTGATGGATAAATATATAATAGGCAGTTGTTAAGCTTTAATAAATATTTTTAATAGTCAGCTGGCATTTTCTCTCAATGGCAGCACTTCCTCTCAGCTGCCAACAGGAAATGCTTCTCCTCAGTGTGCCAATTCAACCCACATGTAGGGAATAAATTGATCTAGAGGAGGAAACAGGAGCATGAATTTCAGGTAGTTTTCTTATGTTGCTTGTCACAAGAAGAGCCATAACTGAGGTTATTACTCTGAGGTCCTGAGCTGTCACCAAGACAGTCAGGTATTGAATAGCACACAGTGTAAGCATGAACATGAGTTACAGTGTTTGTCTAGACTCCGTACAAGCCACGGACCAGGAAAAGAAAGGCAGCTGGCTATCTGGAAGTCATATAAATGATATTCATGTATTATTATGGCAATTTACACTCTCACTGCACTCCTTGTCTCATGTAGATCATGTCACATACTCTCACCCCACCCTGCCAGTCCATGTCAACACATTGCCTCAGCTTCTAGCTAGGTACCATTTTAAGGCTTTTGGGTACCTAAGAAAAGATTTTGAAGGAGTCCACATCATTGAAACTAAAAGCTTTTAAAAATCAGGCTTTTAACTCGAACTGTTGTAGTATGTTATAGTAAAACCTGCAGGTTTCAGGATCAGCTCTCCTGAACGAAGGCAGCTGTTGCATGTAAATAAGGAAACACCAAAAAATCATCAAAAGAGACTGCATTTATATGTTGGATTGGAAAGTGTAATTATAGCCACAAGACACTCACCTGGGTGGGATTATACAGCTCCTGGAGTGGGCTCCTGGATCCTTTCCGACAGCAAATGTCCATCCCAAATGGATTTCTACGCATTACTGCAAGGGGAAATTGAAATTAGTACAGGTTAGCAACACTGGCTAGCAGAAAGCAATTGCAATACCTGCAGCAAGAAAAGATTTTCTGACAGATCATAGGATTCTAGACAGTTTTGTCACTTAACTCCTGATTTTCCTTTCCCTAGAATTTGTCTAAGAGCTAAATCCCTTATCTATTGTGGAAGTTACTGAAAATAAAATCCCCTTATAAAAGTTGTTATGCAACAACTCTCAGTTTGGGTGCACAAAAATTCAAGCATGGGGACCAAAGCAACACAATTTTCAGCAGTGCCAGACACCTGCCTGTCTGATCATCAGGAAGGAGTCGGATGGATTCCTATAATCAGCACCTCTGAGAGGCAATGTCTGAGCCTCTCTCAGACTAAACACAGACGTACACAGGAATCTTGTATTAAATTGCATGATTTTAAAGCTTTTGGCCTAACTTTTCTGTTTCTCATAGAACAGATACTAATCAGTACTCAACATACATACAATCAAACATCGCTGCCCTTCTTACCACAATTTTGCTTTACATATTACAACTGGAAGTTTGATTGATCCACAGAACAACATGCACTGTGTTATACCATTAAAGACCAGCTGGCTTTCAACCAAAGGCTTTGTCAAAGATCTGATCAAGGAGCATTTTGGATGACAAATTTTTTTCAGGAGAGCTGTTGGCCTGAGTCCCAGCAGAGATGCAGACCATCAGCTTCAAGTTAGACCTCTGTGGCCATAAAACTCTGTAAGAAGACATTCAGCTCCACCCTCTATAGTCAGGAGGAAAACAAGAGCTTGCTGTGCTTCTTATCTCACATGGCCCACATCATCCTCTGCTAACACTCTCCTGCCCCAGCTCACCCTGGGAAATACAGAAGGAGCATCAGGCTGTCAGACACCCACATCCGGCATTGCAGCAAGGGAAGATTTGTCTCATCAACATTTGATTAAGACATAACCAAAAAAAAGGGAAAAAGAGATGCTCCTGCTGGGAACATCATGTTAAGCCAAGTCAGGCATGCTTTTATCATCTCTTGCCACATTTTGTAACCAGAAGCTATTGAAGTGTCCTAGAACAATGAGCTGCACCACTTGCAGACATGCTATTGTGGGCTTCAAGCCAAGTCAGAGAATACAGTCCAGTAATGTTTTAATACCGAGGCCTAATATCATAATTGATACGTCAAGTAATATAAACCACAGAAAACTGTATAATGTCCAATCTAGAAACATAATTGATTCCTTCATTCACTCAATACCTATTGTTCAATAGGAGGTAATTATCTAATAACATGCTGGGTTGCTTTTTTCCTAAGCAGACAGATTTCACGGGTCTTGTGGCAGGAGGCAGACATACTCAGTAAACAAACTGGCTTCAATTTTCTTCACAATTAGGACAGTAATGTTAGTAGAGGCAATAATTTTATTTTACACATTTAAACACCTGATTAAATTATGAACATTTTTAGTTATGCAGACAAGTACTGTGATTCCTCCATTGCTGTGCTAATGTGTCTTTTTAAGAGATAACTTACAATGTGTTTTAAAAAATTAAAAATTAAAAAATGTTTCACAGTAATGCCAGCTTCCAAAGCCTGGAAGTGGTTTTAGGAAGAAAATTTTGAAATGAGGATGTGAGACATCCAACAGCCACTCTCACTACAGAGCTTCTGTCCACCTTATCCCCCCTCCATGCTCTTTGTACCAGAACTGTGTCCAGAGAAGCTTTCAAAATCATTGCCCCTTCCTCAATAAAGAAACCTTTCCAAAATGAAGCCTTCTACTCAAGGGCAAAGCACATTAAAACACCACAGCAGGGGGGAAAGGGAGAGGGGAAAATTTTAGTGTATCTAGCTCATTAGACTGTGATTAACTAAGGTCCTGCAACAGTGATGCTTTGTTCTGAAATGAGGAATAACAACAATTCTAGTGTGGTGTTCCCTAACTTGTTATTTCACTTTTAATTTCCATTAAATACAGTTAATAGTATAGTGCATAAGTGTATCCATCCCTTCCTACTTCTCTTAGCCAGCAGGTACCAACACTTTATATGCAGCAGTAACAGCAATAAAGAATACATTATTTACACAACATGAAAGATTTGTTTCCAGATGTAAATAGACAGTAGAAAGAGCTATCTCCCCAGCAAAAGCTAAATGCTAATGTAGAGCCTTAATCACAGAGGCGATTCAACCTATTTTATAATTTCCAGTATTACTTAATTTGTTTTCTTTTTCCAATAAAGCCTTTAAAATCAGACTGTGGGGTTAGCATAGCAACACTGCACTTGGTTTCCTATTTATTGATGCCAGGAATAGCACTCCCTGGTACGATTGTACACAGCACATCTGTGCACACCTGGAAAGTACCTGTGCCTGGAGTTTTACTGCAGCATCAAAATAAAGGTGAATACTCCCCTTTCCTCAGCAGAAATCCCACCTGCACTGTTTGTACAACTGTCCTCAAGTGAATAACTATCAGGAATGTTTTTACATAGTTCAAAACACTTTCTGGCATGTCTGTGGGCACACTTACCTCTCAGGGCTCCTACAACATGTTTTCTACTGTCTCTGATTCTCTGAGGCAGTGCTTCATTATGCCAATGACAAAACCTTTTGGGCCAATGACAAAACCTTTTGGCACACCCATAGCAATCTGCAGTAAGAACTGCAGTACGGAGGGTAGCTGCAGCTCTACTAATTTTAACAATACTTTTGCTAAGGATCCATCACACCATTGTGGAAGTGAAAATTAAAAAAATCAAGCCCCTTATCCTCACCAAATCTTATCAGCATAGTAAATATCTAAATCTACATTTTATGGCTTGGGCTGATCTCCATACATAATTATGGTCAATTATAATCCAACGATAAGTACTGCAATATGCAAGGCTCCAAGAACCATTCAAAAGATCACATTCATGCACACCAACAGTGTGAAGCAGCTGACAAAGAAATTTAGAATTGTCTAGGCTGTAAAATACCTGTAAGATTAGCAGCATTCAGTGCCTTTAATGATTCAAGAATAGTGCTAATACTGCAAGTGCAGCAAGAACATGAATCCCCTGAATTTAGCCAGGAGTGTGAGCAACTGGATGAATCGTGAGTTTGTTACTTAAATACAAGAGCTGTAAAAACAAGATCTTTGTTCCATCCCCAGGAATGATCTGTCAAAAATGCAGCCTTGGCCCACCTTGCTAAAATATGTATGGAACCACTAGTTATCAATCTAATAAGGAATTTGTAGAGGATGCTATCTAGGCACCAAATTTCAATTTCTCAAAAGAGGAAGATAAACAGCCCTGCTTATCAACACAACAATCAGCTGTGCATGCATACATACAGAGGAGTGTGTAGGCCTTAAATCATCTCAGAACAGGAGCATCTGTGCACAGCTCCAGCTTCCAGAAAACTCCATTTAGACCCACCAGTACCAAGAGCAGGAATTTGACCTGTGAGTTTCAGTGCATTTAGGACAAGAACATTGAAGATCATTCACATGGAAACATGTGAGCCAGGCTTAATCTGTCACCTCTCCTTGGCAAGAAGGCATTTCTAATGCACTTGGTAACCTTCAAAGACCCTATCCTAGAATTGGAGACCTCTGGAGAAAATACTGAATATAAGAAGCTGCATAAGTACAATTTCTGCCTCCCCCATCAGGAGCTACAAAAAAACTGAGACAGGGGACATGGTACATGGTAGCACTTCTATTGGGAGATTACTGGCCTAAAATGAATGTGCACACTGCGACTACCTAGACAAAATGAAAGAGGGTCAGGCAGAAATCATGGGAATCAAGATTTTTGGAGACTGAAAACCATAAAGGTCACCTTCTCACAAAGTGTCAGAAAGGCAAATCAAACAATTTCTCAGAAGTCTGTGTGGGATTAAGTCCCAGAGGAGACTTTGCTGGAAGAGACACACAAAACAACTGCCACTTCTTCCTCAGCACTGAGAGAGACAAACAAGTGGCATTTCAAGGATGGGTGCCTGCATTCAGCAGCCATCTCTATCACCACCATTCTGCTACCTCCTAGATGTCTGAGGCTTCAGTTTCCAACACTTCTTATATTAAAAAGTACCTGTCTGCTATCTAGCAGCTGCCTCCCTACATGGCAACATTTAATTTACATTGCTTGGACTACTCTAATTACTGGCATGATAACAAAAGCCAAATGTAAAAATTTTACCTCTGTTCACTGCCTCTTAAATTAAGTCTCACATTACAAATATTTGAGAAAAGTTCTGAGGACATATTAATATTTAACTTTTCATTACACTAGTCTAAAGCACAAAGAACAAAATTCCCTAATACAATATTGCTTAAAGCTGACATACATAATTCATTCCTCCTATTGGGATACAAGTTTTCTCAGTGAGGAGGAAACAGTATGCACTGGCAGCAGTATGGTGAGACTCTGGTTGAGGATCAGATCCTGTTCTTTTAAAAGAAACATGCCAAATATAGTTCTCTTTTTGGTCTGATTTCTGCATGAGAGGTTGAAAATGGTTGCTTCTTCTGCCTGAAATACACTGCTCTCCAGGTAATCCGTTGCTCTCCTCCTGCCCAACCACTCCTAATTTCAGGCCAGAGTTAATGCTTTCCATGGAGGATGTTCCCGAGAGCAAAGAGCAGGTACATAACATAGTAGCTTTTGCTTGAGCTGTAATCCACTGGGTTAGGGCCAACCATTCACCTAAACATTCCCTACCCAAACTAGACAGAAAAATCAGTGCCACTTGGTCAAGGCAAGATAGCAGCACGAAAATGGTTACTTACATTTTTGCCATCTCTAGCCATGTTTACACAAGCTACTGCCTTTAAACTTCCTGAATTTTTAAGTCAAAGCAATAATATATAATTATATCCATACTGAAAGTTCAGAGAGATTCTTTTCAGCTAAAGACCTGGACATGGTTTTTCTTGCATAGATTTCTGCTATGACTCCAAAGCAGCACAGAAAATTACTTCTACTTGGTATATAGGATGAAG